GTCACAGCAGCAGAGGTGGAGTACCTCTTGTTGACACAGTGACTTAAATGTGATCTACCAAATGTCTGAGGAAACCATTAAAGCACATTGTCAAATCAAGGCCCGCGCCAAATCCGGCCCGCAATGAATTATCTATGGCCCCCGGACATTGCCTCCATTGAGCAATGTATTGACCCCTTAACTCCTAGCCCCCGCCGCGGGAGCAAACGAGAAAAAAATACATCTGCTGGCAATAGCAATGTATTTTGAACTTCATAAGCCCCAAGCTATATATCATTTTAAAGCTTATTTGTTTTTTACCTTTCGTCTTCTGCTGCTCCAACAAATTAGACGTTCCCCATCCTTGCTTAGTCGCTTTCTCTCCGTAACGTTCATTGAAGAAGAATATCCACTTGTATTTCCCAAAGTATAATCCATTCTGCAGATTTAATAAAAAAACGCCCCGAAAAGAGTCCAGACTGCTCTTTTACATTTCACCAATTTGAGCTTTGTTTTTTTACTATTTTCATGTTCTCAATGTCTATTACATCTAATATGTACATTATGAGATTGGCTTTGGAGCATATTTTATCAGCCAGCAGTGTCACCGCACTGCCTCTGATGTTGAGAAACATTGAACCATCCGCCCTCGCGCGTAGCAAACATTTTTTTTTGCCCTCTGATGTATTGACTTTGACATGCCTGCATTAAAGGGTAAAATCATAAATAATCACAGAATTTTCAAATAGTGAAGCTAAAATCATGAACTGCTTTAACTCTAAGAATGTCGTCTCTGTCACTCTCTATTTCCTCGTCACTCTGTAGGGGTCCCAGTCCCACAACCACCCAAACGCCCCACATTCACCTCCTGTTTTTCACCCAATCCAATAATGATGGATAAACAATCCCCACCACAATGACCATTCTGCTGCTTCCTTTCTGGTATTTTCAATTTGTTTTATAATCTAGTCCTGCAACGTTCATGGTCTCACCCACACCTTATCATGGAGCTGGTTAGGTTCAGAGAGACCCCACTGAGTTGGAGACTGCAAGAGAGAGAAGACCGAAGAGACCAAGAGAGACCAGAGAGAGAGACCAAGAGAGACCAGAGAGAGACCAAGAGAGACCAAGAAGACCAAGAGAGACCAGAGAGAGACCAAGAGAGACCAGAGAGAGACCAAGAGAACCAGAGAAGACCAAGAGAGACCAAGAGAGACCAAAGAACCAGAAACCAAGAGAACCAAGGAGACCAGAGAGAGAACCAAGAGAGACCAGAGAGACCAAGAGAGACCTCACTGAGTTGGTCTGCTTTCAAAGAAGAAGAGAGAGAGAGCTTTCTTCTGATTTATGAGGACAGACTTTATTGATGAATAAAATCACATCTTCTGTGTGTCTAAGTCTGTGTTTCATGTTAGACCAATTCCTCAGAGTCCTAGACAGATAGGCCTGATGAAGACTGATGATGTGTGGCCTCAGCTCATACTGAGCTCCTGCAGTAGTCATGTAATGTCACTAATGTCTCTCTCTCTCTGGTCTCTCTCTCTCGGTCTCTCTCGCTTGTCTAGACCAAGAAGACCAAGAGAAGAGAGACCAAGAGAGAGACCAAGCAAGACCAAGAGAGAGAGACCGTATCTCTCTTGTCTTTCTCTCTCTTGTCTCTCTCTCTGTCTCTGTAAATAGAAACATAGAGACGTGTATAAAGTTGTGGTGAGGTTTGCTTCTACTTCACAGATTTACCATATTCTGTATAATTTTTTGGAACGTAATTACCTCCTTATAAACAAAAACCAGTGTAGATTTACAGATTTACATTCAAGCCACTCTCTTCCACTAAACTTTTTCATTCATTCAAGATTATATGTGATTCCACAAAGCCCTAGTGTCCCAGATGTCCATTATGCATCCCTTAAAGTCCCATAGATGTCTCATAGAAGTCCCATAGAAGTCTTATAGAATCTTATAGAAGTCTTATAAATCTTATAGAAGTCCCATAAAGTCTTATAGAAGTCTTATAAAGTCCCATAGAATCTTATAGAATCCCATAAAGTCTTATAGAAGTCCCATAAATCTTATAGAAGTCCCATAAAGTCTCATAAATCCCTTAGAAGTCCCATAGAAATCCCATAGAACCATTCTCTCATTTGTCTTTGACTGAGCACACACGACTGATGACTTTCTTCTTCTTCTTCTTGTAGCGTCCATTGAACCCGTGTGCCGCGTAGCTCCTGCCACACAGAGTACGCCACACATCCCCCGGCTGAATGGGACCTTTACTTTCACACAGATCAGCTTAGACTCAAACTGTGATTTCAGAGCATTAAAAACAGATCTGTTTGTTTCTCTAAAACTCTGCAAATATCAAAGCTGTAAAGCACTGGACACAGAGACACACACAGATGAACCACCTGTTGACCATGAAGGAAATGTTTTATGTATTGTCATTTCAGTAATGGAAGCTTGTACTTATTGTGTTTGTGTTATATTCTGATGTTTCTACTAAATAACTCTAACTTCAATGTGTTTTATTAAAGATATCTGTAACTCTAAATTAATTACAAATTTTAGAAATGTGCTAAATTACCTCCTGGCCTTAAATTTTGATATAAAATAAGTCATTTTATTAATTCTAATATTACTGGCAATCCCCCTTCCCTGCTCTTAGCTATAGTTCAATCCACGGTCCGTCGAGTTAACCATCGATCCATGCCAAGGCTGTCAATCATACGCCTGATGCTCGCAGCTGCTCATGCTCAGTTGTTTGTTTCGCGTGCCTCTATTAGCTCTGGAACTACATGAAACGAACAAAGAATTCTGAACATCCGCGCTGAGGTACTTATGTATATTCTGAACCTATATCCATAATCAGATCCTCTGCAGATGTGTCCTATAATGTGCAATTCATGATAATAGCACTTCCAGGTTTGCCGCGATCGCTTTTTTTGTGCATAAAAACATATTTTTTTCATTAAAACGTTCACAAATAATTCTGAAAACCTCCGTGCATGTGTATTAATAAGTATATGTATAATGTGTTCTCTCATTAACATTTCAAAGTGTTACGAAACGTAGGTGTAGACCAATCAGAAAGGAAGGGGGAGGAGCTTGCGTCGTTTTTTCAAATCAATACCTCTCTTCCTCTTTCTGACAAACTCCAGACAATCACGTTCAAAGTCAGTTTAGTGTCAGTAATGTGTTCAGTAAGTGTGTTCCCTGTTTGATTTAGTTACACTCTCTTTTACTCTTTTCTATTCAATGTTAATTTTTGTACTGCCCTAAAACACAAACAGTAGTTTTTCTCAAGGACTTTGAGGAAGTAGTCGATTAACCATACAATCAAAATTATCTAGTCTTAGAATGGTTCAACCACAAACTTATTTCTACATTTCTCTGACACCTTCATTTCAGATTTATTGTTAATAATTTAACCCGACTCAACATAAAATGACACTTTCAATAAAAAGTTTTCTCTTTGTATCAAAAATAAATAAGTAAACACATTATAATTATCAACTAAAGACAATAAAGAAGAATAGCATATCCAGAACTCACTGTGTTCTAATCACCAATATCACCTCTAAAGCTAAGCAGGGCAGCCGTTAGTGCTGATGAAGACCGCCTAAACACAGTGCTACAGTGGGGCGGCTGTGGCTGAAGGTGCCAAACGTGGCTGTGTCCTTAGCAAGACACTTCCCCCACTTTAAATAGTCTGGTGTGTGTAGAATGGTTGGTGGTGGGTGGGAGGGCCTGATGCCCCAGCACTGTGCTAAGTATAGTCACATAAAATGCATGATAAATGATATTTTCCCTCGACCAAAAAGAAAAAATACTCGAAACCTTTCTTCAGACAATGACACGTCAGAGCAGAATGATTAACGACAACATCTCCTGGTTAAAAATAGAAAACCAATACAGGAGACAGGAACATTACTCTGTGAATAACATGCGTCTTGTAACCGACCCACAATGCCTCGCCCACTTTAGCTCTGTGTTATTATTACCCACAACACAGACTTTTGGAAACCCTGATGTCTCGAACCGCTTCAACATATTCTCATTTATTAAATCATTCTTTCACAGGTTAGATTACAAAGGCCGTAAACCTCCTCTACTATTTTATTGTCACTTGTCCCCTTAAAATTAAAACCGACCATTAATACTATAACCAATCATTTCGGTCCAACTCTGTTGAACTGGGTTAATATTTACTTTTTTTTTGCGAATATTAAACTTTTTAAAGCCATTTTTTGTCTAATTCCTTCTTATCACTTTTTATTTGTATTTTATATAAATTCGTTTTATTCGACAGTAGCGCAGTTTGTAAGAATGCCTTAACGCCAAAGGTCGTGGGTTCCAATTCCCACCCTACACCTTCCCCACCCTACACAGATACTCTGACTTATGTCCTGGGCAAACACTAACCCCACTTGCCCAACTCCCCCACTGAAAATCAAGGCTAGCTCCACTCTCAAAGCAGCCGCCTCGCTGTGACGCACCACCTCGAGGTCCAGTGAGGCTGGTGCATCTCGGACCCACCCCCCTGACCCCAGAAATGAATTAAAGGAAGAAAAATGGATGTTGGATTAGGTTTAGGAAAAAAACGGAGGTACCACAGCTTTAAATGACACATTATGACACAACTTTATACACTGTGATCCATTGCTGCAATCCTCGTCTGAATATATCATCAAACATTAAAGAAATATATATATTTGGTTCCATTCACAACATCCATTCAGTGCTATTAAATAAAATACAATTATCGATTAGTTTGTTTATTTTAGGACACAAGTAGTAAAGATGGCTTACACCAATTCACCTCATCTGTTTAACCTGTATTTTAAACTGTTATTAAATTACGTGAGTTAAAAGGCCCTAATGATAAATGCATTATTATTACTAAATGATATAATCAGCTATTCTAGTCTCACTGTGTTAACGTACGCAGCTGTTCCCGTGATTCAATGAACGAGTTTTGAGGTTTGGGAAACACTTAACACCGACGAGAGACTCTTTTGGCGGAATTAGCCCAAGCTCTGAAGGTTAGGAAATCCGCTGAGAATTCCCATGCATCCACATGACACCAACCACCAACTCCAAACACCACCACCACCACCACCACAACCACCACCTACACCACCACCACCACCACCACCAACACCAACACCAACACCACCACCACACCACCACCAACACCACCAACACCACCAACACCAACACCACACACCCACCACCACCACCAACACCAACACCACCACCACCAACCAACCACCCACCAACACCCACCAACACCACCCAACACACCAACACCAACCACACCACCAACACCACCAACCCACACAACCACCACCACACCACCACCACCACCACACCACCAACACCACAACCAACAAAAACACCACACCACAAACACCACCAACATCCACCACCAACACCATCACCACCACCACCACCAACACCACCAACCCCACCACCATCACCAACACCACCACCAACACCACCAACACCACCACCAACACAACACCAACCAACACCACCATCAACACCAAACCACCACCACCACCACCAAACAACCAACACCACCACCACAACCACCACCACACCACCACACCCACCACCACACCCACACCACCCAACCCACCACCCCCACCCAACCCCACCCCCCCCCCCCACCACCAACCCACCCCCCCACCCCCACCACCACCCCCCCCAACACCCACCAACCAACCCCCCACCACCCCCACCCCCACCACACCCCCCCACCCCCCCCCACCCCCCCCCCAACCCACACACCCACCAACCCCCCACAACCACCAACCACACCACCAACCCACCACCCAACACCCCCACCAACACCAACCACCCCACACCCCACCACCCCACACCACACCACCCCCCCCCCAACACCACCACCCACCACCCCCACCCACACCCCAACACCACCCACACCCCACACCAACCCCCCACCCCACACCCACCAACAACCCACACCACCCACCCCACCAACACCACCCCCCACCCCACACCCACCCAACACCACCCACCCAACCCACCCCCCAACACCAACTCCCACACCAACACCAACACCAACACCACACCCACCACCACACCACCACCACCAACACCAACACCACCACCCCACCAACCTCCAACACCAACACCAACACAACACCAACACCAACACCACCACCCAACCACCACCACCACCAACACCAACACCAACACCAACACCACCACACACCAACCAACACCAACACCAACACCAACACCAACACCAACACCACACCAACACCTACACCAACACCAACTACCACACCACACCTCCCAACACCAACCACCAACAACCAAAAACTTAACCCGTGTGACTGTTTGCTATTAAAAAAAACTACTCCTGAAATACTTGTATTGGATTCAACAACTAATAGCTCCCCAATAGTAAACGTCTGTCTTACCAGTAAACGCGTCTTACCATGTGTAAACTCTGGTCCATGATTCCTCCCTACATGAACTCTTGGTCTACCATGTTAAACTCTGACCCTGAGAATACGATAGAAAAATAATCTGTTCTGTTCCAATCCAAATATGAAGAAACTGAAGCCGGACAAGAGGAATTTATAAATTCAGTAAGCAAGATTTGTGCTCTACCACCACGGCTCCTTTAAGCTAAGAATGCTAAAGCTACTACACTAACTAGCTAAATGCCAAAGCCACTAATGCGAAAGCTAGCTAATGTCTCACTCACGCGCTCATTACATACGTCACATAAACTCAGATCCAAGGTTTCAATCTGCAAAAGGAGTTATCCCCTTCCCCTGTTTCCATGTTGAGGGTCTATATCCATCCATCCATTTTCTTCCCTTAATCCTTTTATCTCTCACTCAAACAACTACAGAGAGAAAAAAAGAGAAATATTAAGGGAAAAAATGATATGACATTGACCCCACAACATGAACATGGGAGGCTAACTCCTTTTGCAGATGAAACCATTGATCTAGTTTATACTTACTTAGAATGACCGATAGTGAAACATTACCCTAGCTTTAAGCAATTAGCCTACTTTAGCAGTTACCTACCTTTAGACATGACCTACTTTAGCCATCTCCTTTCCACTACAACACCCCGTGATAGAGCCCCAAACATCTTTGCTTACAATGACATTTACTAAACCATTCCTCTTGCTCCCGCTTCATTTTCTTCATATTTGGAATTGAAACCAGAACCAGATTATTTTACTATCGATTCTCCATTGTCCAGTGTTTTACACATGTTCAGACCCGACTTACATGTAGAGATGATCATGGACCAGGTTTACACATGGTAAGACCAATTTACACATTTAAATCCAAACTTTACTAAGCCAATATTAGTTGCTTGAATCCCATAAAATCATATCAGATAGTGTCAATAGCAACAGTCATCAACATCTACATTTTGTTGTGTTGTTTGTGTTGTGGTGGTGGTGTTGTGTTGTGTGGTGTTGGTGTTGGTGTTGGTGTTGGTGTTGTGTTTGATGTTTGGGTTTGTGTGGTGTGTTGTGTGTGTTGGTTTGGTGGTGGTGGTTTGTGGTGTTGGTTGGTGTTTGTTGGTGTTTTTTGGTGTGGGTGTGGTGGTGTGTGGGTTGTGGGTGTTGGTTGTTTGTTTTGTTAGTGTTTGTTTTGTTGGTGTGTTGGAGTTTGTGTTTGTTGCGGGTGTTTGGTGGGGTGTTTTGTTTTGGAGGGTGGGTTGTGTGTGTGTTGTTGGGGGTGTTTGTGGTGTTTTGGTGTGGGGGGTTTGGTTGTGGTGTGTTGGGTGGGTTTTGTGGTTTGGGTGTGGTGGGGGTTGGTGTTGTGTGGGGTGGTTTGGGGGGGTGGGGGGGTGTGTGGTTGTGGGTGTGGGGGGGGGTGGGGGTGGTGGGGGGGTGGAGGGGTTGGGTGGGTTTGGGGGGGTGGGTAGAGGGGGGTGGGGGGGGTGGGGTGGCGGTGGGGTGGGTAGGGGGGGGGCCGGTAGTTATTATCTATGTTGGGTGGGGTTGGTGGGAAAATGGTGGCTGGGTGGGGGGGGTGTTGGGTCACTGGGTGGGGAGGGTGGTGGGGGGGGGGGTGGGGGGGGGGTGGGGGGGGGGGGGGTGGGGGGTGATAGGGGGGGGGTGGGGGATATAAAAGGGGGGGGGGGGGGGGGGATAGGTGATTAAATTGAAGATATGGAATTTAAGGAAAATGGTAGGAGAAGGAATATTTTTGAAGAAAGAAATAGAAGTAGGGGAAAGAAAATTTAATATTTATTTTTAGAGGATGAGTGAAATTCTCACAAGCTAACAAAGCTCTTATTTTCACATGCAACTCAGAATCAGCTGAGTTATATGATAGGTAATAATAATCATTACATTCATAGGCCTGTCGACACTGCAAGTACATTTAAAAACAGTTAAAATACAGTGAATAAACTTGGAGCTGAATCGGTGACCATTTTACTAATCTTCCCAAAATAAACAAACTACATTCATAATTGTTATTCTCTATTTAATAGCACTGAATGGATGTTGCAGATCTGGACAAAAATATATATATTCACTTTAAATCGTTTTGATGGATATATCAGACGAGATGCACAAACTGCATCACCATTTTATAAAGTGCTTCATAAATGTGCAATAAAGCTTGTACACCGTCGCTTTTTTTCATAAACAATACATCCATTCCATCCATTTCTTCCATTTAACCATGCTCTGTCAGGGTGGCAGTCAGAGATGCCACCTCCCCTCACTGACACACCCCTCTGCAGGTGTGATTCCCACAGGAGGACGGCTGCTTCTCTGAGTGTGAGCATAGCCTTGATCTTTCAGTGGGGCTTTGGTCATAGTGGGGTTAAGTGTCTTGCCCAAGGACACAACGACACATCATCCATGGAGTCGGTGGAGAAGGTGTAGAGGTGGGAAATTGCACCCACGACCTTCTGGCCGTAAGGCCAATAGCTCTACCAACTGAGCTAACTGTCCAATAAACAATACTTTACTCATAAAAATAAAATAACTGTCGCATAAAAAGAATTAGAACAAAAATTGCTACAAAAAATTCAATATAGCCCAAAAAACAAGTCAATAATAATCCACAGTACCCACCAGAGCCTTTGGACCAAGAATGATAACGTTCATGATTTTAATGGTACCTTTTAATTTTACAGAAAGTCTTAACATAAACATAGTCACAAGTTTTATCAGCATTGCTAATCTACACCTAAAGACTAATTTAAATAAATCTACAATAAGTTGAACCTCCACACATCAACCGTGTCAAACAGCTGATTCTTTATAAATAACACTGACTATATGGACAATGCATTGTGGGTCGCGTTAACCATACTGAAACTGTGTATTCACAGAATAACCTGCTTCTGTCTCCTGTATTTCTTTTCTATTTTTACACAGAATGCGTTTAACATTCTGCTCTACCGTCATGTCCTAAGAAATTCCGATATGCGCTTTGGTCCAACTCACTATCAATTTATCATAGCATTCTTATGGGAACTACTACTGTAGCCACAGCTGCCCTGGGCATCACCCCTCCCAACACCACCACCCATTCACACTCCAATCACACCAAACTCATCTAATGTGGGATATGCTGCCAAGGCACAGCCACATTTGGCACTTACAGCCGCCCCAACTGTACAACCACTGCTGTTTAGTCCTCCCATCACAGCACTACCAAGCCCTGACCTGCTACTTTAAGGTTTATATCTCTATTAAACACACCTATATGGATAACTGCTATCTTATTCTATTGTCTTTTATTGATACATTATAATTGTTTTACTTATTCCTATTGATAACAAACAGAAAACCTGTTTATTGGGGAAACGTTCACTTTATTTCTACTATGAAATTATAACAATAATCGATGATGTGGAGGGGGGGATGTAAAAATGTTAATACTTGTTGTTGAAACCACTAAAAAACTCGACAAATTCTCGAGCGTTGGTTAATCGAACAACTTCCTCAATCCGCTAAAAACTACTGTAAAGTTTTAGCTGAAAAAAATACATTGAA